AACGCCCCTGTGGACGCGTTCCATTACCATCTGCATCACAAAGTGCTACACCTTCCAGCAGCCTCGACATCCTAAACATTCGCCTCGTTAGCTGAATTTAAAAGTTCACTCCTTGGCTGCTAATTCAATTTCAGGAGTCTCGCATATTTTGGTAAATATGAATTTTGGTTGTGCGAAAAGCATCCAGAAAAGAAAAGCCGTATTTCTGGGCCACATTTAAAATCAACACATGTAGTCTCAAAAAACCCAAATTGAGAGAAAACTTATCCCAGCACGGTTCGCTGACACATTTTCGGGCAGAGATGCAGTTTTACACACTCCTACTCTCACTCCGACGTGTTTTATTTGTCTGTGTCGGCCGAGTTCAAAGGGCCCCATGCTTCTGTTGTTATTTCTGTCACAGTCGCTTTATATTCAAAGTTTGACATTTCACCAGATTAACTGATTAATCAAATAAATTGTTGTTTACTGACACCGCCACTGGACACTAAACTCAATCACAACGGGCTCATTTTTTAATCCATTAACATTAAAGCCGAGATAACTCCAAAATGAGACGTAGGGAAAAGAGAGAGGAACAGATGGGTGTAGGAAATTAGAGATAGCACAGATAGACGCAAGCAGGAAGGATAAAGAAATCCTGCTGAGGGAGGAACTGGCACAATTTTTTTTTTACTAGAATATTGCTTACAACGGGAATGAAGTAGGGTGAAGAAAGAAATCAATACTGGCCAACAAGGATATATGAAAGGGTTGAGGCTGATTGATGATAACAAATTATAAGAATAATCAATATGCCCATAGCTGCTGTTCATGAATTAATCACAAACAGAGTCCGAGTCAAGGTAACGAGCCGTGCTTACAGTTACTACAGCGTGTGCCGATGCCTATAGCAAAGACACCGTGCAGCTGCAAGAGGCTGCAGGAGGCAATACGCAAACAGGGCATCACGTGGTGCAAAGTCGGAAGAACAAATGTGCTCAATAACTTATGACACCGGGAAGCTTCCCTCAGTCACGTGCTCAGAATACACACTAATGCGCACAAATGCACATTATGAATACGCGTCTGCGCCCTGGCTGCTTGAGACGGAGCCGGGAAACATATTAAATGTCATTGCCTATATTTTCACCTCAGTTTCATCGGCGCTGTGTGGTCGGCACGCGCGACGGGGGGAAACCGAGAGATCATCAGTTTATGGAGAATTGGAAAAATATGCTCCTCATATGCAGCACTTTGCTCCTGAGTGAGAGGCGACAAAAGGATCACAAATGTTAGAGTGGATGGAGGCGAGTGATCCAGTGGAGCTGCACAGATAGGTGGTGGGACGGAGAGAGAGAGAGAGAGAGTTGAGGGGGGAGAAAAGTGATGGTACTTGCTCTTTCATCCGCCCCTTTACTCCAGTCGCCACGGCAACATGCCTGGAGGGCACTCAAGAGAGGCGTCATCACTGACAAAAACAACAGAGAGGCAGAGAGTGAGTGAGAGCAAACGAGAGCAAACTAGACAGACTGTGTGTATGAATGAGAGCTGAACGAGGGGAAAGTAGGCAGCAGATCTACAACCGACTCGGGCTACTTTCTCCTCGCTCACAGAAGTGCGAATTCTGACCTTCAGGGACTCGGCTAAGAAGCGTAATGAACGACCATTTATCATCGGAGCTAATTCAGATTAATGTTTTGGATCACTCAGCTGAAGTTTTCACCAACAGCGTCCACGGCCGTGTTTATGGGTGTGAATATCACTGATATCCTCGGCAAAAAGGACACCATTATGAGATATGAAATTGGCAGAGTTAATCAAACCGAGGCTAATGCTTAATATTTAGAATTAACTGAGCCATTAATACCGTGGGCTGCCGTTAGGCTAGATAGAGTGGTTAAACCACCACCGGCGGAATTAAACAGGTTAATTAAAGTCTCCGAATTCTCACTCCCCCTCAGTCTGTGTTTCACTGTCTCTCACACACATATGCACACAGATACACATGCATATAATTACTCAGACATGTGTGTTATTACATGGCAACGGCCTTCGACTAACTGTATTCATTTTCTATTAATTCTAGCCTTAACCCCTTGTTGAAATGTAAATCTGAAATAACCTCATATTTAAAAGAAAGCACTGAAACTCCAAATGTTTTTCCTGTTTCATTTATATTTTTTAATTTACAAGGTAGACGACATTGAGCCATCATCAGCTGTACATCATGTAGATTGAACCCACTGTTAGACGGCTTCAATTCATCACCCATTTATGTATGAAGCAGTCTCCATTCTTTGCTGGCTGCTGACACGAATGTGAACACTGTGCCCACAATTAGCTGTGATAATGATAAAATGTGTGATAATGAATCATTTGACAGCCCGAGAAGACTTTAGTCTTTTCAGCGTGTTCCTCCGGCCTCGTCCCAAACTGAACCCTGAGCCCGACCCGTCCATCCAGCAGGAGAAAACACGGCGGTGCAACTTTCAAGATGTGACCTGCGTCGTATTTTTAACGTCTTTCATTGTGGAGTGAGTCACGCAAAGCAGATATCACAGCGGGTTCTGATAGCAGCAGTCTGTAGGGGATGATCCGAAAATAACTCAATAAACAATATATCAGGAATCTCTGAAGTGTTTTAACAAGCTCACGCACAGCAACAACAATGTACTTTCAGAGTATAAATGCAGTTTTTCAGTTATCGTAACAGTTAGTGTACAACGTAAGAACCTCTCTGCTCATTGGTTTAACTCTTAAAAGTCATTTTTGTGTATCAAAGTCACATATTTACCGTAATTTCTAGAATAGAAGCCGCTACTGTTTTCACACACTTTGAACGCGGCTAATTTATGGATTTTTACAATTTTTACGAATTTGAATCGAGACCAAAATGACGTTGAGAGCGACAACTCCGACACTGAAGAAGACAACTTTAGTGGTTTTAGTGCAGGAGGAAGATGAAGATAGCGATCAATGACTTTTCCTGGTAGACTGCTGTAGTTTTTACTTTCTTAACCAGCCGTGTTACAGGCACTGTTTGGAAAAAAGCATTTACGTGTTTGTGTACATTACCGGTACGTATTTAATTATAAATATCTCATGTTACAACGTGGACACCTGCGGCTTATAGACAAGTGCGGCTTGTATATGTACAAAACTGGTTTTCTTTTGAAAGTTAGTGGGTGTGGCTTATATTCAGGTGCCGCAATAGTCCGGAAATTACGGTAGATGCTTTTTAAAATGAAAATAATCATATTTTTCCCTAATACAGTTTAAATGTGACCCTACCCTGTTTCTTCCTATAGAAGGTGAAGTCTCTCTTCAATCACTCCTCCCAACTCCATGCAGCTCGAGCACACCAGCTCGCCTACATCTCTACTTGAACACTGTAAAACTACACTACACAATAGAAAGTTAAAATACTGGAGTGTTTCAGACATGCACGTTCGCACCAGAAACCATTTCTAAAGAAGAATAATGTCAGGGAGAGTCCCACCCTGCAAGATGACAGGATTGGTTACTTAGATTTGTCACATATGAAACCCAGGAAATCTGAATCCGTATGTTTGAGGCTGTCATTAGCTCACCGTAGTTTCACGGTGGAAATACTGAGCGTCTGTGCCGACTGCTGAACGACGCAGCTAACATTTCATTTTAATGTGCAGTATGTCATTTTGCAGGTGCAATATTTTAATCCAATGTGTAACATTTCATTTTTCTGGTGCAATATTTCAATTTCATGTGCAATATTTTATTATCCTGTGTGATATTCTTTTACTACCTCCTTGCCAGTACTACTTATTACGGTTTCTATTCCGGTCTTATCGTGGCTTACGCAGCTTTATTTTCAGTAATACATTGTACTTACGTTTTATTGCTTTTCTACTAGGCACTGCATTTCTGTTATGTAATATTGTTTTCTGTGCAATATCTGGCGACAGAACTCCCTTTGGGATTCATAGTTTTGTCTTATATCTTATTTAAAAACACTCTATAGACGTGAAAATAAGGTTTAAAAAAATGATTTCCACCAGATGGGAAACGCCAAAATATGCAAATGAACAACCGGATTGTTGAAATGTTAAGCATCAGGCACACATTAAGGCAGCAGCAGTAGCCACTGGGTGCTGCAGTGACTGATTGGCTCTGACCTAATTACTAATTAAGGGGTTTTGCAGCACAGGCTCTTATTGTTTTAATGGTTTGTGAAATGAATGTCCATTAACCTGCTCCCCTAAAAATCTCACCTTCACTTCCCAAAACTCGAGCAAACATTAATTCTAATCCTTATCCTCACACTGCTGCCTCGGTGTAATCTTTAACCTAATTCCTCACCAAAGTACAACTGATCCTCTAAGAACTGTGTCCAGTCGAAACGATCCAATTAAGAGGATAACAGTGAGGGAGACGGAAACGCGCGCACACGCAAGTGCACGTTGTGGAGGAGGTGGTGGAGGGGGGGCGGGGCAGCAGGATGGATGGACATGTGAGCGCGTCTCGGCCATCAGAGGGCGGGTTTGGTGCGTTCTGTGCGCAGCGCGTAACTGCTGCTGCTGCTGCTGCTGGTGATGATGAGAGAAGCGCCAGGTACACAAACCGTCCAACACAGATCCAGCGGCTTGGATGCGACTTTAAAGCTCCGCAAAGACCCATAAACACCGACCTCAGCTGTCAGTTGTGAACGTGGCAGCTGGGTTTTTTTTCTTGTCTTTTTCCTCCACCTGTATTGTTCCTTGGAAACAAACAAAAGGAGTGACTGGAAAGTGCGTCCCAGATGCCCAAATGGGTCTCGTTATGATGGGATCTGAGTTGAAGAACACGTAACCACTCAGACCAGAGAGTCACCCCCGTTCTTTTCATCTGAGCAGCTCGTTGTTAAGGTAACCGGGAACTTGAAAACGCAATTTTTTTGACCGCTGGGATGTTGTGAACGACGCGAATCGCCTGGGACAGACAGGAGCAGGGGGACGCAGAAAGGAAGACAGGGGGGAAGCCGAGGCTGGACCGGAGGGATTATGGCTCTCGCAGCGTTTTCTCTCAGCCTCATCACGCTGGCGCTGACAAACTTGCACCTTTCGAGAGCCAGCAACCGGCATGCGGTGTACTGGAACAGCTCAAACCTGCTGTAAGTGGCTTTTCTTCCTGCGCGTTCCGAGCCGGGGCTCCTTCCTTTGTCGATGCGCACCTGTGCTGGTAACTTGTTTGCAAGACAGTGGTCAGCTTCCTTTATTCCACCACTGAAATACATGACAATGCATGGAATAAGCACATTTTTCTAAATAGACAAATCAGCTAATTTCCAATAGGTTTGAACTGTCTGAGTGTTTCTGAGCCTCATTTTTAATTTTCTCTTTGTTGGTTTGTTCTCCAACCATTTAATCAGTTTGAGTACAGTAATGCGTCTCCAGTGGGAAACAGTTTCTGCTCTGTTCCTTGTCTTCACCCTGCCTGCAGAGTGCTTTGCTCCATAAATATTTGATTTCTGTCTTCACATTTAGTCCATCCGCTGCCTCACAGCAATGACTCATTTAAGCGGTTATCTTTTCATTTACCTGATCTGGGTTGTGCCTGTCATGCACCTCCCTGCCCTCCCCGTGCAGCATCAGTGCACAATCCACACACACGGCTCAAACCGGCACACAAACTAACGTACATTAATGCATTCAGCCACACGTACGCACATCTGAGCCTATTTTTGGACTCTGATTCCCTCCAACAACTGTAAGGTTGCTTACCTCAGGTAAGCCTCCTCGGGCTCTCCTATCTCTCTACCTGTATAAAGGCAGCTTGCTGTGGGGCATAGATCGATGTGGATCCTACTGCCTTTGTCTTCTCATTAGCCAACAGTGAATCCATCTTTCTCACATTCTTTTATCTCTTCTCCTCACACAACCTCCCTCTTTGCCTCCCCCCCTCACTCCTCTTCTATCTGTGTTCCTCCTCTGTCCATTTGTATTCACCTCAGACACGGGTCTCTCCTATCGCCTCTCTCTATCTCATACTTGGTTATTTTCTTCCCCTCTCTTATTTTTCTACTGTGTCTCACCAGCCAGCCTGTCCCCCTCAATTCCCTTTTTTTTCCCCAGCATCTCATTACCGCCCCCCCATCTGCCCCTGGTCCCTCGCTCACCTCCCCGGCTCTCAGCTGAGGGGACGCATACAGTAGGAGATTAGAATTGTATGAAAGTTATATTTGAATGCGTGCGAAAGGTGGGAAGATTCAAATATTTGAAGTTTTCCTCAAGACAAACGGCTGTGAGACCTGGTGGAAATAGTCGAGGTGGTGCTGCAGCGCCGTCACGTCCTCATTAATGTTAATGTGTGAATGACGGAGACACATTCAGAACTATTTTAGATTTATGACTGCAGTTAATCCCATCAGTGTGACATGAATAGAGAAGCGGTATATTAGCCGAGACTTAGCTGCATTTAAGTGCTGTAAAAGTGCACAGGTTTTTGAGTGTCGCAATCAGTATTAGTGCTATCTATCAATTTTAATTAGTCTTTTGGTGTCTAAAATGATTTTCACAGCATGGTGCGGTTGCTCAGTGCAGTTATTCATTACAGTGTTAGCACATTTTTTTGGCTTTAAATTGACATTTATGTGTTAAAATGACAAATATGTGCTCATATTAATGAATTCAGACTCCAGTGTGTGTGAGAGAGGCAGAGAAACACACACACACACACACACACACACACACACACACACAGACTAAGTGCAGGTGTGGGTCTTCATGCCTGCGTGTGCAAAACCTCCTCTTTCTCCACAGCAAGATACAAATCTCTAAAATAATGCAAAAACTGACCCAGTTTGCAGGTAGCAGACAAATCCTCAGAGGCTATGGCAAGAATACTGATGGCCATCAAGCTTTAAAAGGCCTTAGGCTTGGAGCCACTTCTCCACAACTGTGTCTACATGCAAAGAGAAGCAGCTGAAGGCCTCGCTTGTTCCACAGCGAGCTTCCTTTCCTCATCCAGCTCTCGTTATAGAGACACACTCAGGAGGGAGCAGTAAGAAAATGAAGGCAGCGTCAGAGAGCCAGAAACCAGAGGCCTTTAGGGCCAGACTCTGGTTGAGGCCTTAATGTTTTACCCTTGAGCGCAGCATTCAGCACAGATGGTTATGGCACAGCTGCAAGAAATGGGATCACTTGGAAGCCAAGCTGTTTGTACCAAAGCCATGAAAATGGCTTTTTATGATAACGCTCAGCTAGAAATGTCTTGCTCTGGTGTACTGAGAGTCCAAAGTGGATTGTTACACAGTCGATGCCCGGTAATACTGCGCTGTTTGATTCCTTACAACTTTTCTGAGGTAAACAACATCAGACGATTCACTACGGCTCTTTCTTCTGCCTCGGTCATTTTGAAACGAGATGTCTCGATTATCATAACCTATAACTCGGAGCTGTTTGATTACCGGCCAAGTTCGTCACAACCGCACTACCCCCCATTAGAAAGTGTTGGTCTCAGCTTCCGCTCTCAGCAGCGCGCCTGGCCAAGTCGTTACAGATGTCCCTGCTAATGGCTGACTGAGGCAGGAAAAAACACACACGCAGGCCATTAAATCATCTCGCATCTGAGGCCATCTGCCAATTAGAGGGGGGAGATGTGGAACATCTTGTGAGCACGCGGGAGCAGCGGTGCACTGCGGTAGCCTCGCCTATCCACAAGCATCGTCCTGTGCTCCCGCCACCTCCTCCCATCAGGTGTTTGGCCTCACTGGTTACACAGGGCGCATCCCCATAATTGGGCACCCCCGTGTCAGCATGATGAAAACAGCAGCCTGGCTTTCATTCAGTCTCCCACACCTTCCCCCAAGAAACACAGCGCCTCTATTAATGTACCACCAAAGCAGAAAGCCTTTACATGGGCATGAAAAAGGAAAGCAGAGTTTGAAAATATGCCACACATCTCTTTGCTAAATCTCCGTTCCCTGGCCTGCTCAGCAAGATGAAAGTTCTTTCGTTGTTTGTGGCTGATCCTCAGTGATTTACGGCTCTGCGTGTTTCATGCTACACATTATGACCCTGATTTGGACCTGAAATGGTGTCTGTCAAGCCTTTTAAACCACACGACACCAAAGGAAAAAAAAAACCAAGCCCAATTCCCTGCACACCATTTCTGGCGCTACAAAATAAATTATCACCTTGACAAATAGCTTCCCCGCGAGTTCGAGGTACAGAGACTTGGTGATCAATGTTGAGTCGAGGTGCCGTCTTACTCAACAGCCTCATTAACCGCCAGGTCGGGCTGTGTGGGTGTGCGGGCCCGGCTAGAGTTGAAGGTGGTTCCCTGTGGGCCAGGAGGAGAGCCTGGTGCCCTGCAGGGAGAACTTTGTAGATATTTAGCTGCAGCAAAGGTGATTGTTAATGAGAAATGAAGAAAAAGGGAGAGATGTGTGAGGTGATGGATAAGGAGACTTCAATAAACAGACGGGGAGAAGGAAAAAGGACAGCACTGTAGTGAAGAGGTGGGTGTAATGGACAGATTGTGGCGGGATGGAAGGAGAGCTCGCTGAAAAGGTAGGAAAGCAGAGCCGTCTTTCACTAGGAGAAAAAAAAAAAAAAAAGCAGAGGGGGGAAGATTGATTGAGTTGGCCAAAAGTCAGGAAGGGTGAAAGAGAGCGCGGGTTTTACCGGATATGGAAGTTAGGTTATTGGCCGAATGTGCTGTAGCTGCTGTTTTCTGAGGAGATGATACCCACAGGAGTTGATCCGTGCTAATGTGGACACAGGCTGGGTCATTCATGTGGACCGATGCTCAGAGACAATAGCTCGCCGCCATTCACCTGCCCCTCTGGCCCGTGCAACACGGCGGCGCAGACGTGGGAGATGAGCAGATTTGCTACCTGATTACATGCACGTTCGTCCGCCTGCAGCTCCGTCTCTTGGCTGTCTTGGCGATTTTGCATACAAATGCATCTTACTCGCTGGCATTCAATTTGTTCTTTCATTGTACCACACGAGCGCCTCGAACAGCATTAGGGTTGTGTGCAGTCTTTTTTTTTCTTCTTCTCTTTCCCCCCCGGATACAGTTGTGCTAAACGAGAATGAATGTGCGTGAATACCACTGATTGAAAAGTGCAAATTGACCTTTTATTTATTTTTGAATTAAACATGTCTCTCCATCCCTAATGAAGGATTCCTCTCTCCAACTATTCAAGTTGCATGTGAACATTCGGATGCTTTTTTTTGGTCTGGTTTATCCATCCAAAAGATTAGCTTGATGAATAGTGCCTTTAAACGGATAGTTAACTTGACATTATCACCTAGCTTCATTAAATCACAGATCTGCAGTGGTGTCCTAAAGCTTACTGGGCTGATAAAGGGGTGTGCTGACCATTTTTAGCTCATTGGAATCTGCTGTGAGTCACACAGATGGACAGAGAAACACTGAAAGGATATTTAATGGTTCGTATGGATCCAGGAGTGGGCGTGCGGATCAATGCGTTTATATGGTTTGAGGAGGAGAATGGACTCCGGCCGAACAAAAAAAAAAAACACAACCGGGTTGCTTTTCTGAGCATCAATCAATCTGGGTGCATCAGGTGATCAATTTCCAAATGCATTTTTAATTTGATTTCGTGGTGTCAGTAAATTGCCATGAAGCACTTGGAGCTCAGCGCGGGAAGCCCAGATCAAGCAGCGCCTTCGGAACAGCATGCTTGAGAATTGATTAGTACGGCCTTGTCAGTCACTGCTCCGGGGTTCAAGCTCCTTGGAGGCCTTTACTGTGTTTGCACTAAACAAGGGCTCGCCTTCGCTGCAAGCTTCAGAGAAAACAAAGGTTAAAAAAACATGAGGCTGTGCATGGATGCAAGAAAAATATGTGTTTTGAATAAATCTGCGTCTTAAAGAAAACAGCCCTCTGTAACGTAGAAATGAAAGGAAAATGCGAACAAGTGTGCGAGACCTAAACAAACTGTAAGTTATTCCTCCACGAGTTCAGAACGAAGAGGCTTTCATCAGAGCGTACTTTAGATTCTGCTCGCTTTACTGATTCAAAGGTTAGGTGAGAACATCAGCATGCACTTGTTTTTGCCAAATGTCTCGCAGCTCATCTGCATAAATTTAAAACAAGCTTAGTCAAAAAAAAAAAAAAGGAAAAAAAAACCGAACTCAC